CCGCTCCCAGGAACCTCCACGCCGGGCTCCCCCTCTGGGAGCAGCGCCTCCGCGAGCGGCCCGCCGCCGTCCCCTCCCGCCGCTCGCCCCACGGCTCCGTCCAGGCTGCCCCCTCGGTCCCGACGCTCCGGGCAAAGGCTTCCAATGGTCCGGGTCCACCCCCGGCACCGCTCCCCCCCACACCGCCGCACCCGCGTCCCGGGATTGACACCGCCAGCCCCCGCCACTCCCTGCTCCGGCCCGCCTCACCTCGGGCGGCTCCGGCAGCGCTGGACACAGGAAACTCCTGGGTCCTCGACTCCGGCTCTCCTCGACCCCCCTCTTCGGTTAACTCCGCTTGTTTCTCGACAAAATGGCGCCCGAGGTCGCGCGCTCACGTCGCGGCCTTTCCCCTCCCCGTTCCCATTTCTTCATTCGCTGCCCGCCCGGTGGAGGGACGGCCCTAGCGCCAGCCAATGGCCGCGGGCCGGCCGCAAACGCTGCCCAATCGCTGGCAGGGACCCGCGGATTTAAACCAATCACACACCATCACTCGCAGAAGTCGAGGAAGACACCAGGCTCCTGCTAGCAACTACCAATCCAGACTCCGATTTCGCGGGCTTAGGCCAATTGCCGCTCACTAGGGACCTGAGGGACGGGGGTCCGAGCCCCAGCGCCTGCGCACCAAGTGGGAGAGCCAATGAGTAGACACTGAGAACTTGGATTTGGGGCTCCCAACATCTGCCTCCGAGGTGTTCGACCTATGGGGGACTGGCTGGTCACTGCATCCGAGAAACAATGCATACGGAAGGAAGTCCGCAACGTGCTGCCACCCTGAGCACAAACTACACTAACTTAAAGACAGGGTGATGCAGCCTTCATTCTACTTTCCTTCGTCTTTCGAAATGCCGCGGTCCGAGAGGCTGCGCGGGTTCTCAGCGGAAGCACTGTCCACCCTGGGGTCTCTTTAGCAAGGAGCACCAGCCATCAGAAAGCTCCAGACACGGGCCAAAGTTGAGGGTCTTCGCATCCTGGGTTTTGTAGTCGCTCGCCCCGCCCATTCCTGTCGCAAAAGCAACGTGATTGTGTCCATCCCTCTCTGCGCCGAGGAGGAGCAATGCATGCTGGAGAATGTAGTCTCCCAGATGCCCACCTAGTCCTAGCTCTTTTCTATTAAAGTTTTCCTGTACCGTCTGTTGAAGCAGGGATGCTTCACAGAGATACAGAAACTGAAATTCTCCTCCTGTCCCTGGATATGCTCAAGGATGCTAATGCCCTTTGCTTCTTGGATAAAAGAGTGTTATCCATAGTGTCCTCCTATCTTGTAGGGTTTGGGTTTGGTTTGGTTTGGATTTTGAGAAAAGGTCTCATTCAGTTAGCCCAACTGTAGTCCAAACTGGCCTGGAACACACAATGTAGCATAAATTAACCTTAAGCTCCTTGCAATCTTCCCAACTACTGAGATGATAATAGCCATGAGCTCTCACACCAGGACTATTTGAACTTTAAAGAGATTTGTTAAAGACTGTATTTTATTTTGTATGTATGGGTGTTTGCCTGCCTGTAAATCTGTGCACCACGTGTGTAGAGTGTCCTCAGAGGTCAGAGAGGGTGTCGGATCCTCGAAGTGGAATTGCAGACAGTTGTGAGCCACCGTGTGGGTGCTGAGAATCAAACCTGGGTCCTCTGAAAGAGCAGTCAAATGCTTGCAATCTCTGAGCCATCTTTCCAGCCCCTTGATTTAAAAAAAAAAAAATGAGTCTTTGCCTGCATATATGTATATGTGTTCCCCATGTGGGTGTGTGCCTGGTACCCAGGAAGGCACTGGATCCCCTGGGACTGGGATGAGAGCTATAGCTGTAAGATTGGATGATGCCTTGAGTGCTAGGAACCCATCTCTGCTCCTCTGCAAAAGCAGCAAGTGCTCCAACATTGAGCCATCTCTCCAGCCCCCATTTTGAACTCTTTATCCATGTTTTATTTGTGTGATTTAACAGTTTGGGGATTGTTTTGTTTGTGGGTTTTGTTTTCTTTTGTTGTTTGTTAAAGAAAAAGAGGGACAATAATGAACATAATGGTATACAAGGAGGCTGAAGGTCAAGAGACCCGGGCCATGCTGAATTACATAGTGAAAACCTGTTGTGGAGGGGAGAGTGTGTATGGGGGAGCCATACAAATTAACTACCTAAGGTCAACTTGGTAATTCTACAACCAGTTTTAGTTTCTAGCATAGATTCCCCGCAAACTGAAGGTAAGTTGAAATAAATCTGAATTGCTTTTCCCTGCCTCAGCCCGCCTTTGCCAAGATGATGGTTTGCTGATTTAAACTGAAGTTCCTACAAAAGACGCTTAAGCCCACTGCCTGTCTCTCCCCTTAAAATCTGACAGCCATGGAGACTGAGCCAAGATTTCCACGATACCCTGAAGATCAGAGTCCCTCGACTGTGTGTCTAAGCTGGGTAGCTCCTGTCTTTAGTAGAAAGCCGAGAAGAACTTCATAAAGGATCTATTAAGTGTTGCCTTCTAACTCAGCAATTACGAATGCTTGCTTTCAAATGTATTTAAGATGTCTTAACCAGCAGATGAACTCATCTGGCCTCTTCTCAGCCTTCTTCCCATCCTTCCTGCTCCAATTGCTATACACCCCAGGCTATGGAGGAATTTTGCAAAACTTTCACAACATATCCTGAAGATAAAGTAAAATACAACAGAAAAATTTTATGTTAAAAGTAAAATACAAAAAAAAATTAATTCTGGCACTCCAGAGGCAGAGGCAGGCAGAGCTCTGTGAGTTCGAGGTCAGCCTGTTCTACAGAGCTAGTTCCAGGACAACCAAGGCTACACAGAGAAACCCTGTCTCAAAAACAAAACAAAACAAAACAAACAACAACAAAAACAAAAACTATTTTTTAAAATCCTGAAGAGAAAAATGTGTGTCAGCAAACTTTTGTTGTTTTATGGGTTTGAAAGGATGGAGAACAAAATACAATATAACAAAGAATTTTTTTTAAAGATTTATTTTATTTATTATGTATACAGTGCTCTGTCTGCATGTGTCCCTGAAGGCCAGAAGAGGGCACCAGATCTCATTACAGGTGATTGTGAGCCACCATGTGGTTGCTGGGAATTGAACTCAGGACCTCTGGAAGAACAGTTGGTGCTCTTAACCACTGTGCCATCTCTCCAGCCCCAAAGAACTTTTATATCTGTGCAAACTGTAAAAAAAAATAAAATAAAATAAGTGGAGGTACTTTGTACTTTGAAGAAAGCAGAGCAGAAATCAGTGGCCTTGTTTCTCTATGATGGTATTTTCAGTCCCCCCCCCTTTTTTTTTTTATAATTGAGTAACTTTAAGTTCTGGCAGTTTTGACCACCTCTGGACTCTTTCCTATCTAAAGCTTCGACTTAATGGGCCAAAGGATGTCCAAGAAACACACTTCAAAATCCCCCCTGAGAACATAGAGGGCGAGGGACTCATAAGCTTCTACCCCTGCTTGGGGAGCTCTTGGCAGTTGATGGCTGCTGGAGGAGGAGAGAGTTTTCTTTAATGGTGTGCCCCAGTGGAGGGCTTCATCCAC